CATTACCAACACCCAATCTAAGCTCAGTGCACTCCTCAAAATAAATTACGAACAAAAAAAGAAGTATTTTAACTTTTGTTTACCACAGATCTTGAAGGAGTTTACAGAAGTTATGTTCTGGTACTCCACAATTACAGCTAGCACCAGCACAGTCATCTGCCTTGATATATTCTGACTTCAGAGCTTAGTTATTTTTTAGCTCTAGCACTCCTAGCAGGATCACAGTGTTTTTCATAACACAAAGCAAGGAAGAGTCACCTCTTGTTACAAGTTGAGGAAATACAGAGCGCAATATCCACTTCTAGAATCTAAATTATGTCAAACCAGTTTGTAAATTGAGTCTGGATTTGCTGACACTGTATCTAGACAGATTTCTAGATACTAACTTCCAGAAAGCAAAGCACAGAAAAGTAGCTAGACGGTTCTCTTCTACAGTGTTTAGAACAGTACTGTCCCGTAGCAAACTGACTATGCATGCCCTTCAGTTACTACAGTATATAAAATACTCACATTAACAACACACCAATATAATGACTGCTGATACTAACGTGGACCCCGTATGTCCAGATTAGCCACTAATCCATATAGCCATTAATAGCAGAGTATGTAAGGATGTACACACACCAAAAGAATAAACCTACTTATGAAATAGATTATAGCAAATCAGCCTTTAAGCAAACATTGTCTTAGCCTTTAAGCAAACATTGGATAAGACTGAGAGAGGAAGAAGCTGTTCAATCATTATAGAGTTTCTTACAAAAGCATTTTCTTTCACAGGTTTTAATATGTTTATTTAAAAAAAAAAAACAAAACTAAGAAGTACTCTCCTCAGTTTACATTCTCGTATCTGATTTTAATCATGTTAGTTCTGTTCCATGTCTGGCACGAAGAGAAAGCCAAGCCAGAAAAGTCAAAGCAGAACTAATTTACTAAAATCTAATCAACAGAAAAGATCATAAAAAATACATCTGTAGCTATTCTGTGTTTATTTTCTAGTTCATAACTTAAAGCTGTCAGGAGAAACAAAGTTACACTGCTTTTACATTCTTTCTTTAACTTTTTATTATATATCCTGATATTTGCTAATACACGTTGTACATTGTCAGTGCACTGTTCATCTTGGACACAGATGGAAAAACAGGCAAAGCTCACATATCAACTATTAATCTACTAAAACAGAATTTATAACCAGTAAGCACCCTATAAAACATGCATTATCATACAGAAAGTCATGTGTCATTTCACTGGTATCTACCATAAAGTTTACATATTTGAGAAAAAGCCGCTTTGCTTTTTTTTTTTTTTTTTTTTTTTACACTAAACCTACTATAAAATTATTACGTACTCAACATACACATTTTCAACACATCTGATTAACTGTTTATTTTATATCAAAAAACACCAGAAGACGAGTCATGTAAATACATCTATTTAATCTCGTGGACTTTAGCTCAAATTCTGCTTTGGTCACAAATGTAAAAGAGTCTAGTGATCTCATCCCTGTGCCTACAAGGGATGTTTGTGCCCTTTACAAAACCACTGTTTTGTATCTGACTGTCTCTTCTCAAAAGAAGAATAAGACATGAATAGCAGGAAGTGTGTCAGCCAGGAATGAGATAGTGACAGTGAAGATATTAAGCCTGACTCCAGCCAACAATACAAACGTCATTTTCAAAAGCATGAAGCTTGTCTGCAAAAGGATTATAAATAATGCAAGGAATAAAGGAGCAGCTTTTGTCTGAATGTCTGAACAAAGCTGAGAGAATCTTATGTTATAGCCACATTTTCTTGCACAACATTTTGAAGTTTTATCTTAGCACTCAAACACTAGCAAAAGAACATGTAAATGTAAACAATACCAATGGGATGGATTCCATGAAGGATGCCAATACCTGCATACATCAGTTCAACAACTTCTAATGATAGAAAATAGTTTCAGTCCTGTAATGCGATGATCAGGCAGAGTCCACCTGAGCCATAAACTGTTAAAGGCTTCCTTAGCAGAGCTGCTCAGCTAAAGTCAAAAGCCAGAGACTCCAAACCTGTTACATAAGCACATCCTTCCCAACAGTTCCCTGGTCCACGTATTTTAAAAAAAACCAACCCACTAATCCAACGCAGGAAGAAGAGAGAAAGCAGTTTGCAAGAAACGATTCACCTCTTCTCCCAAATCAAGATACTTTAAGGAAAAGGCTTTAAGAGGAGCCTCTTCTTCTACAAAAGACCATTTTATAGATTTTTGCCTAAATACATTGCCTGAGTCAACATAATATCCAGAATATATGGCCTCAAAATTTTGAAAATTGAAAAAGCTTTTCCATTACATCTTTTTGGTTAAAGTATGTTAATCCAGTTGGAGATAACCCCTACACAGCTCACATACCTTCAACATGTACATAGTCAACTAAAATTCTCCATTAGAAGATTAATCACTGGCAACTTCATTAAAGAACCCTCAAAAAACCCCCGAAAATCTATGTTTAGTGTACTCTGCAAAGTAATATGGTTTGGGCAGGCTTTAGTCCTACCAGTTCATTACTAAATATTTTCTCTCATAGCAAGATTTTATGAACTATTAGAGTATTTTGCTAAGCATGCAAATGATGTGTTGTCAATTTTCACTTGCAGACTCCATATTTCCAGAAATCCTGATTGACAAAGTACTTCTAACCCTGCCTTCCCATACAGTTATATATATATAGAAGAGACAGGCCAGCAAATTTAAACCAAGTGCCCACTTCAGAAGGGAGAAAATACAGCTATATCTATGTATCTATATACACATATAGATCCCTGAATATTTCTTTCAAAAAGTTCTTGCAAAAAGATTCCTTGGGAAAATGTGGACGAATATAGGATTAAGTGATTTAGTAATAAGAGCAAAGGAATACAAGCAAGCCTGTCTGCTGAACTGTATAGGTTAAATGACCAACTAAAAGCATCTGTAAAATCCAGTTACAGATTAAGGAACTTTGTTCAACACAGGTAGCTTTACGCCCTGATTATACAGCTTTTCTTTCAACAGAACTTTCTCTTGGCAGCGATCCTATAATCTAGATTTAGATACTAAACAGCTTCCTGAGACTACTTCATTAAATGGCAGAATGGCAACTGCAGAAATGGGTGAAAATGGAGCATGCTTTCTCACACGCCCTGAAACGGAGGGGAGGGAAGGATAAGAAGTTCCCAGAATCACCATGCCTCCCTCCTAGCTCCACTCCTGAGCTCTCAGAAGGAAACAGAACTACAAGCCTAGCAGATTTAACCAACAGCAGTAACTACTAGATGATTAGAGCAAGACAACAAGTGCAGAGACGCTTCAAAGAGGTGCCATGATGAGCTGCACTCCACAAAACACCCCATTTTCACATGCTGGAAGCAATATTTCTTAAGACAGTTCTTATGGACCTGGTAAGACTAAAACTGGCTACGACACTCTTCTGCCCCAAATCACCATTTTTGTTCACAGAAGTATTTTTACTTTCAAGCTGTTTTGCTAAAATTTTCTACCTATCAGTTTTTTGAGTAACTGCTGGTCACAGCATATCATCCTTCTTTCTAGTATTAGCCAGTAGGATGCAAGTCTACTATCCTAGACACAAAAGCTGAAGCTTTTCTTCCCTCTTCCTATCTGTAGGAGCCTTCTAAGTTTAATAATATTTCACTGTGTTTCATCAGAAGCTCCTCAGTATTACGTAAGATGAAAAAACTTTAAATGTTTTTATAAAGCTTCATTTTTGTTAAACCTGAAACCCACAGAAAATTATGATAGGATACTTTCAGATGCCTGGGAAAAAATGCACAATAAAAACTAAGAAGTGACAAGTTCCCTATACAATAAAAATGCTACTTTTACTTTACATGAGACAAGCAGTGGTCTTGAACAGAAATGTTTCACAACAGCAGGACTGAGTCTTATACTCTAACATTTTCCCCCTAAAAATCTTGTGCAGCTGTATAGCGATAGATGAGAAGTAAAACAAATCATGACTCTTTTAACCACGTCTTCTAGATTGGCAATCATTCATGACACGCATACTTATCACCTCCGTCCCCCCAGAAAACAAACCCCTCTTTCATATGAGACTGATATTTCTTTTCCTGACTCCTATTTGCATGAAAGCATTCCACAGAGTGCCTTAATATTCCTCTCAGTTTGGTCTACAATCTAGCAGATTCTCTTACTGCAAAGTAAATTCTTATTTGAGCGAATTTGCTATTTAAACATTTCTTTCATGGATTACCAGCCTAGAGATCTCCTTCTCTGACGATTCTCCTCCTTCCAACAGCTTTTTTCCCCTGTGCTATTCAAAACTGCTGGAGCTAGTTCTGTTAGCAAGTTCTTCTCAGTACAAATTCTTCGATAACTCATCTTCTCTGTAATCCTATGTTGAATGGCAATTCCTATTCTGAAGGAATTACAAGCATGTGTCATCTTTTGCCTAAAATAAACTTCCACTGTTGGATAAAAGCTGTATCTTATCCTTTCAAATACTGTCTGCAGACACCCCTACAGCAGGGGAAGTCCTGTTGATAGCCCGCCACTACCAGTTATTGCATTTTAAAAAACAGGTTTGTTATCACTGATACTTCCCTCTACATCACTTCGTCATGAATCCAGACAAATCTGTTTGTCAAAGAAACTACCTATTTAATTGCATGGTTTATTTAGTGTTTAGGACAACAGGAAACTAATACCCACTCAGGAACCCTTAGACACTAATTTAAAATAGAGTAGTCCCTTTGTAAGTATAGGTGTACAAAAAGACTTTAAGGTATAAAGCTTACAAGCCCAGGTTTAAGAAGATTAAATCTTGACTTTCTTTTTTTAAGATACCTACTTTATTAGTGCTTAACAGTGCTATGAGCTTCTCTGAATGTGAAGGAACACTTCACGCTCTTAACTTGGAAATATTACCACTTAAGAATCTGTATGTAGCATTATCTTCTAGATATTCTTGGCTGACAGGTTTAAGAACTTTAGACTTACATTTTCTTACCTAGTTCAGTAACTTGTCGATCAAAAGGACAACGAACTGCTCTGCCATGAAGGGGAAGCCGCGTGAGACAGTCATGGCAGACAGTATGGCCACACAAAAGCAGCCGGGGAACTTTGTCACCTTGCAAAGAAAATACATCTTCACAGACTCCACACTCAAGAACCTATAATTTTAAAAGAGACCATATTTGGTTTTCAGCTGATAAAAAAGCAAAACTTCATACAGTAAGCCATATGACACAGTTTATTTTACAGAATTTCCTGCAATCGCAGCAGATAGTCATTAATTTTGCTTTGTATGCACAAATAACGATCATACGAATTATATTTTAAAAATGAATAAATAGACATGAACAGGAAGTTGTAACTCTTCAGCGTCCCACCTGATCACCACTAGTTCTTGCCTACTTCGTTTAAGGCACTGCCACAAGAAAAGCCCACTGGTCAAGCAGCACAACTAAGTAAGCAGAAACGTCCTTGCAGGAAAAGGAAACGGAGGGCAAGACCCTGCCAAAGCAGACTATCAGCCGGTGAAGAAAGTTTCCATTCATAGCTGATGCACAGAAAAAGCTCCGTCATACCAAGTTAGGGGATCGGAACATCTTAAACGGCTAATAAAAAGCAAAACTGGTCTTCATTTAGGAGGAAAAAAAAACCCACCCGACAATCCGTAAGACAAT